TTACTTGCTATGGACTACTCTACCATACCGACACAGCAAAGTTTATCAGATTGTTTCGAAGAGTGTGATTCCAAAATCAAAACCTTTACCACATACTGCTAGTTACTTTCCAAAAAGATTACACCAATTTACAGAATCACTGTCAACTAAACGCTCCCCAGAAAATCACCAAAGACTGGGCTTTATCATAATGCTTTGTAGGATCCTCAACTTTTCAACTCCCTGTGATGTTGACAAAGCACTCTATATTCTGATCTCAAAGAACACGACTGGAATTACCTCATTTCAGCACCCAACACTACAATGGGGTTTTGCCTGCGTATCTAGCACTGAGTAAAGGGGAAGCTGGCAAGCTGATATGAAAGTGGGTGAAGGAAAAATAAGAACAAAACTGAAAGGGTAAGCAGCAGCAAGAAAAATCTGTTACTGTCTGAATATAGAAGAGGTATTGATGTGACTAGAAGCAGGGGTGTTTGGGAAGGAAGGAAGCAACTGAATTCCTTGGGCCAAATGGATTTAAATGAGCTCACATGGAATTGCCCATGCATTGATTTTTGCTTTGGCAATCCAGTTCATATCATTCCCTTCAAACAGGATAAAGTTGCTTAATTATTGCCTAATTTTTTCTCAACTTTTTGTAAATATCCAGGGGTAGCTTGTTTTACTTTCTACTCGGATTTGTCCACCTGATAATAATAATGGCTAACATTTATTAAGTGCTTACCTTATGTCAGGCATCTTGTTAACATAGCTTTTATTTTATTTTTTTTGAGACAGAGTCTCACTCTGTCGCCCAGGATGGAGTGCAGTGGCACAATCTTGGCTCAATGCAACCTCCACCTCCTGGGTTCAAGTGATTCTCGTGCCTCAGCCTCTTAAGTAGCTGTGATTACAGGCGTGCGCCACCAGCCCAGCTAATTTTTGTATTTTTAGTAGAGATGGGGTTTCACCCTGTTGACCAGGCTGGTCTGGAACCTCTAAGTTCAAGTAATCTGCCTGCCTCAGCCTCCCAAAGTGCTGGGATTACAGCCACTGTGCCTGGCCAAGGTAAGTACATTTTAAACTCATTTTTTGAATAAGGAACCTGAGGCAGAGATAAATGAATACACCTTCTATCGACTTCCTCTTTGGGAAAAGAATTAGTATAGAAGGAACCTGGAAATCTACTAACAACTGATAGTCCTGTATGTAAATAAGCCAGCAAACTTCTGCAGTCCAGGAAACTGCATCATCAGCATTTAGTTTGTTAATAGTGAACCATCTAATGAGAATCTGCAACAAGGATAGCGCGCATGAAAAGTACAGATGGTATTTGCAAGTACCCCAGGTGTGACCCTAAACTGGTCATTCCATCTCTCTCAACCTCCCTTTCCTGTACTTTAAAATGGGGCTGTGCAACTTGGTCACGTCTCTGAAGAGTTTTGGAAAACTGAATAAATAAGGACCATGAAGATCTTCCCAAACTTTTAAGGACCTCAAAAACAAAAACAAAAACAAAAAACAACTTTCAACAAGCAGGTGTAGAAAATTTAAATTATATTTGGCCTACAAGTAAAGGTTACTCCATGCTTCTCTATCTCAAATGTCCTCTCCCGTTTCTCTGGTACTGAGAAAATCTGTGTCGCCTGTTACAAGGCAGTCTACACAAGACCAACACGCTAACTCACCGGCACGTCAGGGTTATCAAACATTTCCACAGTGGCCGAGACAAAAAAACCTCATGGGAAAAAACAAAACAAACAAACAAAAAAACCCAGAGAGAAAAACTACCCTTTAAAGATTTGGCCTGGGGTTTTAAATCTGCCCATCCTTTTTTAACACTATGAATTGACAATCTTTCCTTCAATGATGCCTTGTTCTAACTTCTGTTTTTCACATCCATTAGTGGCACATGATAGGCCAGCGGGTTGCTGCCATAGCGTAAATGGAAAAGGTGCCTGTAATCTGGGTGTGTAATGTACTGGGCCACACTCTGGTCCCCAGTTTTCATGGGTTTCCCATGGTAGGCTACCCACTGGCTTAGAATTATTTCCAGCCCTCAGTGGAGTAAAAATACGAACACCTAACACTTGATTCCCACCTAAATTAAGACACAATTTAAAGAAACACTAAAAAGGCAAACGGCTCAAAATGCCTCCACCAGGCACCTCCAAGCCCACACCGTGCGGGTCCCTATGGCCCACTCTGGGGTGTCCCTCCGGGGTGGGACACTCCCTGGCCCACGGCCCTGCCGGCCTCCACGGGGCACTCCTCAACCCGCGAGTCCACGCGCGACACTCCCCGGTCTACAGCCCCACTGGCCTCCTCCACGCGGCACCCCTCAACCCGGGAGTCCACGCGGGCCACTCCCCGGCCCACCGCCCCGCCTGCCCCCACGGGGCAGGCTCCCTACAGACGGAGCTCCTCTAACCGGGACCCGCCTAGGAGCTCCAGCCGCCTCACGAAGGCCTTCAGAGGCCGGGCGGGACCACCTCTGGTGGACCAAGGCCTCAGCGCCCGCCCCGCCTGGGCCTCTCGCCTCGGGCCTCAGGCTTCACCGCCCACCCGGAGAGGCCCACCCCGGCCCCTCGCGCCCAGGCCGCTCCACGTCCTCACCCTCGCCCTCTCGCTCGCCCGCCTCGTCCTCACCGGCCTGGCCCGGCCTCCTCAGTCGCCAGCTGCAGCCTCCAAACTCGCGTCCGCGTCGCCTGCTCCCGACTGCCCGCCGGCAGCCCCCGCGCCGCGCGCCCCGCCCTGACCCCGCCCCCGCGCCGCGGACGCGCAGTCGATTGGCCTGCGCGGCGCCAAGGCGGAGCCTCCCCAGCCCGCGGCCTCAAAGAGCAAGATCGAGTTCTCATTGGTGAATGGACGGAGAACGGGCGGGACCAGGCGGGCAGCGACGTAGAATCTAAATCTGTGCTGAGCTCGGCTCGTTGGGCGGGGCGTCGGCGTGCGGAGCGAGGCAGTGTCCTAGGCGAGGCCTAGGCTCGCTGGGCGGGGCCTCGGTTGGTTGGGCGGGGCTCGGTCCTGGGCGAGGCTTAGGCCCGGCGGGCGGGACTAGGTCCTGGGCGAGGCTTAGGCTCGGCGGGCGGGACTAGGTCCTGGGCGAGGCTTAGGCTCGGCGGGCGGGACTAGGTCTTAGGACAGGGCTAGGCTCGCTGGGCGGGGCTCGGTCCTGGGCGAGGCTTAGGCTCGGCGGGCGGGACTAGGTCTTAGGACAGGGCTAGGCTCGCTGGGCGGGGCTCGGTCCTGGGCGAGGCCTAGGTTCGGCGGGCGGGACTAGGTCCTAGGACAGGGCTAGGCTCGCTGGGCGGGGCTCGGTCCTGGGCGAGGCCTAGGTTCGGCGGGCGGGGCTAGGTCCTAGGGCAGGTCTAAGCTCGCTGGGCGGGGCTCGGTCCTGGGCGAGGCCTAGGTTCGGGGGACGGGGCTAGGTCCTAGGACAGGGTAGGCTCGCTGGGCGGGGCTAGGTTCTGGGCGAGGCTTAGGTTCGGTGGGCGGGGGGTAGGTCTTAGCGGCTCTCCTTGCACCCTCCGGCTCAGTCCCTGACCGCCAGCCTCCTCCTTACCCCTACGCATTGCATCCCTCGTGGGGCTACAGGGACCGAAGGGGATCATCGAAGGATCACCCGTGTGCTAAGGCTGAGACAGGCTGCTCCGTAGAGGCGGCCAGGACGGTCTTCCTCTCGCCTAGGGACCCCCACTAGAGAATGGAAACCTGACTTGCTGTACCATACTTCCCTTCTCTCGAGGGCTTCATGTGTTCTTCAAGACCTTACCCATCGTGCCCTCCTAGCCCGCCCCTGGAACCCACTGTCACCATGTGGCTGTTGAGGTAATAATTAAGTTCAGGAAACACCCAGGCACTTACGAGACTTCTCCCATGGTGCTGTGGATTCCAGAGTGAAGCCTGACCCTTCGTTTCCCAAAAGCCCAGACAGGAGAAAAGCTGGCTCAGGGGAACCTCTGCTTCTCCTGAGACAACTATGGGGTCTGAGACCTGGGCACACCAAGACTGGGCTCAGCTGTGTGGGATGCTCCCCTCATGTCACCCACATCTGGGGCTTTTCCTCTAACCAGCCCCCAGTGACACCACCAGGCCCCAAGTGGTGCACACGCCCCAGAACCGGGCACACCAAGACTGGGCTCAGCCCTGCGGGATGCTCCCCCCACTCATGTGTCACCCACCTCTGGGGCTTTTCCTCTAACCAGCCTCCAATGACAGCACCAGGCCCAGAGCAGTGCACACGCCCCAGAACAGAGGACCCTGCCTGCAGGCAGACAGGGCCGGGTGGGGATAGTGCAGGTGAGAGCCTGGCCAGAGAGTGGTACTGACCCCTGGCAGGCTGCGGGTGTGTGCTGGGGACCCGAGTCTGGCAGTCTGGAGGGAAGGCAGCAGGCGTGGCAGCTGTCAGCTGAGGAAGGAGAGACAGCAAGAGTTCTAGTACCCAGGAGTCTATAAGGAAGAAGTTCAGAAAACACTGATAGCAAGGTAAAAGGGGCCCAGGTGGGTCCCAGGATGGTCAGTCCAGTGGGCAGCAAGAAGGCTAGAGGCCTTGGAGTGTAGGCATCCAGCCACCCAGATCAGTTCAGGTTTCCAGTTTCCTTTACTCAAGCAGTAGAGTCTTCTTAACCTACTCTCGAAAATTTATAGGTTAGAAATTTCTTCCTATATTTCAGTCATTCACTTACATTTCCAGCAATTTAGTAGTTGCTATTATCAATGTGATCTTTTTCTCACTACATTTTCTAATTAGTAAATAGGTATCACTGACCTCTTAGTGTTAATTTTCACCAGATGTCTTATACTTTCTAAGTAGATGATCTGATCACCTATAAATAATTCCTTTTCAATCTTTGGTGCTTTCTTTTGGGCTCAATCTCCAATACATACACAGTTGTTCATTACTGATGCTATTGATGCAAGTAATTTTTCTTGATTTTATACACAGATGTTCTCAAGACTTTGAATTTTCCCAGAAAACCTCACAACTTTCCCTTGCAAATAACCAAGAGAAATACTCATTTAATATCTAAACAATAGTACTTTATTGATAAAAGGTTAGTATAAATGGATACAAAATTGCTGTGTAAAATAAGTGTTTTCAAAATACATTTCTACAGGTAGAGACTATCTCTTAGTAAAAGAGCAGTTATCTATAATCAAAAGTATCTATTTAGATTTGGGCAGTAAAGCCAAAGGGGATGAGAAGTGTAGCAGTGTGGGTCCTCCCTCCCTGCAGAGCTGATACCAGGAGGCAGCGTGCCTGAAGTACTTTCACTCAAACATATGCGGGGCTTAGTCACTTGCAAACTTGTTTTTCTTTTTTATAGATTTTCCAACAAAGTTATTAAATGGCAAACTCAAATAATGGACTCTGCATGGATGTACTCTAAAGTCATGGAACACTTTTGCTTAGTTACCTTCACACAACAAGCCGTAACATATAGCTTTTGGCCATTCACAATTAAGCAACAGTGAAGGGGCAATGTTAGCAAGAATACCAGATTTTCTGTAGCACACCTTCGTATTATCATTTAACTGTCTCATTTTATGTTTTTTTTTTCTAGCCCCCACAAAAACCAAAAACCCTGTCTCATCCTCAGATTAAGCATTTTCTCCATCTCCCTACACAACCATTGTCTCCTTTCATCTGTCACTTTCTCGGGCTGAATTTCCCAACTTCAGTAGAAATGATAAAAAAGGCAACTGCTGGAGTGTACCACAGGGAGACACAGGAAGAAAGGTGACACTAAGGCTACAGTGCACAGAAAACGGATCAGGTGTGGCTTCGACTGTGTGCACCTGCCCACTAGCCCATGCTACAGATTTAAAATGTCTTTCACTTTGACAAGACACATGGTTTATATTATACAAAATGAATGAAAACGACAATGGCTAAAAATAAATGAGAGTCTGCACACAAAAAAATGATTACTGCTATTTTCCTCCCATCAGAAAGTCACTCAAAAAGGGGGTATTTAAAGGAAACCCAAATCAGGAACACCCGGTAGGCATCAGAGGTTCAGGGCACCAAGGCCTTAGGGAGGAAACACTTTTCAGTGAAGCTGTGCTTCAGGAACACGCCCACCAACAGACCCCAATTTCCACAGGGGAGGCAGATCTACTACAGTTACAGAAAATACACTAAAGTGCAATATAAAATATAAAAAGGTTGGATTCTGAATAGACCAACTGCTAATTTTCCTTAAAAATTTTAATTTGGTTGAGTAAAAAGTTTACTGAATCTCGTTTTGTAGGTAAGAGTCTTAATTGCAATACAAAAACTGGAGCTCATGACTACTTTGATTTTCTCTGTAGCACAGGATAACCAGTATTAGTGGAGAACACAGGATAACCAGTATTAGTGGAGAACACAGGATAACCAGTATTAGTGGAGAACACTACAAAAAGGGGCTTGCGGTGAGTTCTTTGCAGGGGTTTTAAAAATGACCTAGATCAGAATTAAGAGACTTCTTTAAAACTCACCTCTAAAAAAGCTGTTTAAGTATAAAGATGTATCTCATTAGGAAATTCTATTCTGTTTTATTTGGTTAAGAGATAAAATCACAAGACGAATCAACAGTATAGAATTATAGCAGCAAAACTGGTTTTAGGTGTTGTGTACAAACATAAAAGCAAGGAAGCAAAGAGTCTCCAAATGGTATGATGTGGTAAGCAGATGGCCTTGCACCAAGTCAGTGCATCTTTCTACATCACTAGGCTCACACCTCTACCACTCATATTATGGGTAAATCTGAATGTTCTAGATATAAATCAGGAGTGCTCATCAATGGTTAGTCAGTTGTTAAGTCAGTTAAATCAAAGAAATTCAGTATTAAGCATACATGCCGATTCTTGGAAATCAATTCTAACATTAGTGGTTAGGGAGAAAGAAAAGGAAAACATTCACCTCACAAAATACAGAGTGTAACATAGCAATGAAATACATATGTTAAAAGTACTTCATACAAAAAACACATCAAAAGTCTTTTAAAAATTAAATTCTCAGGCACAGGTACTGTTAAAATGTGGATGGCACCCTCCCAAGGATTGAAAACACACAGCTGGATCACGCATCTGGAATGTTTTCTTTTTTATCCAGGAAAGTGTTTTCTAGAAAAAAAGAAAACAAAACACACTTAAGTGTGAGTGAGGCAATGTCTGCTGCATTGATCATTAAGTTCTACTTTTCTCATAAACTGAGCAAAAGGCAGGGCTTACATGACCACAAAGTTAACTGAATCAAAACACCACTCATAAGGCTCTTGGAAACTGGAAATGCCGCAAAACTAAGAAGTATACAGAAATAAAATTTTATCTATCTAAAAGTAAAATTTTCATTCCATAAGGTTGAAACCAGAAGCTCAGACAAAATGAGCAAACACCTGTCACTGCTTCCTGCTTCAAATGAGCTGCACAGCTGAGGCATCCTTGTCTCCTTCCACTGTACCCTCACTTCCCCAGTCACATGCCAACACAGGCTATGCAGGACCAGCCTCTAGAGTCAGCAGGCCATCGTTTAAAAGTTATGGGACCATCAGCAAATAATGTTAAACTCTCAGAGCAGCAACAATTTCCTTATCAGTAAAGTGTGAACTGAGCACATACCCTCAGGACTATTCTAAGGTGTCAATGTGATGATGAAACTAAAGCAACCAACTTGGACCCAGCTGGGGGTGACATGGATGTTTTCTTTACATTAACTTATCAAACTGTACATACATATTTTTGTGCATTTTGTGTAAATACTGTATTTTACAATGAACACCTTTCCCAGTAAGCTGCAAGAGGGTTTGGTGACTAAGGCTCCAGCAAGACACTCTGGGTCCTTCCTCAGCCACTTGTCCATATGACATGGAGGCCTAAAGACTCCCTGCCTTCTGCCCACCCACGCTGTCCCTTCCCCGTTTTCATGAACACACTCATGCTTCCGGAATGAGGTCCCTGAATTTTAGGGGAGACCATCTACAAAATTCCCAACGTTTCTTCCTCACATCTTGGCCAACTCAAACTCTCTTTCAAGCTCTAATCACATCTCTTGTATAAGGTCTGCCTTTACCCCAGCATCATGTGACCTACCCTCTTCTTTGGACTCTTAGGTTGTTACCTGACTTTACCTTTCATGCTTTTCCTCTGGCAAGTGATGGGAGTGGCCACCTGGCCAGTTCACAGAGCCTGCCTGTCCATAAGATACAAGGGAGTGGGCATTGCCTTTTCCTGATCCTCAGTGTCTAGAGTCTGCAGATTCTTTTCAAGCAGGCAGACCAGCACACACTAATGACCGTCAGTCAGGACAAAGCTATCTGAGGAACAGGAGGTCAGCGGTCTCCATCCAGGGAATCCTTATCTACCTGGCATAATTCTTCTTCCTTGTGCCATCTTTACTTTTAATCTGTACAAGCTGTTTTAATAATACATTTTTATTCCCTTTAAAGAGATGTTTTAACAATTAACAAATTTCCAATAATACAACTAATAAAGGTGCTTTAATACATAATTTCCTTCTAATGTTGATATTTGCAAGCTTAGAAAATAACCTGCAAATGTACCCCAATAAAATAAAAGTTATAATTATTAAAAAAAAAGAGACAAAAATGTGAGAAATCTTTACTAGAAAGTAGGTGGCAAAGTAGTGGCTTCTTTTTTTCAGGAGCAATCTCTTCTCGTTTAAGATTAGTGATGGAGTTACTTCAAAATGCAAAATATTAATGAGGCTTAAGGAGGAACCTGTCATATTTAAGCTGCTACAACAATGTTAGTAACGACTGCCTGTCTTCCAGGCTAAGGGACAACAGGGCCTACCTGTGACTTCTTGGTACGTGCACATGGCCTTACACGTGGTGCCCGAGAGCCCCACCATCGCCATCCCCGCCCTGCATCTGCATCTGCATCTGCGCCTGCATCCTTGCAATCATCTCTTGCATGCGGCGGAGCTGTGAACACACATAGGTTTTCAAGGTTTGCTATCTTTGAACATTACTTCTGGGTGTTCTGTGACTCCTAAAATTTCAACTTCTATACTTTCCCAAAACATGACAGAGTTATTATATAAAGACTTCTTACCAATCGATTAAAAAACCAACAGCTAAAGAGAAAACCAAGTAAATGATATGAATATGCAAGTCAAACAGAAACAATAACCAAAGAAAGATAAGACAATATGATACATTTTCTTTTCTTTTTTTTTTTTTTGAGACGGAGTCTTGCTCTGTCGCCCAGGCTGGAGTGCAGTGGCCAGATCTCAGCTCACTGCAAGCTCCGCCTCCCGGGTTCACGCCATTCTCCTGCCTCAGCCTCCGGAGTAGCTGGGACTACAGGCGCCCGCCACCTCGCCCGGCTAGTTTTTTTGTATTTTTTTAGTAGAGACGGGGTTTCACCATGTTAGCTAGGATGGTCTTGATCTTGTGACCTCGTGATCCGCCTGTCTCGGCCTCCCAAAGTGCTGGGATTACAGGCTTGAGCCACCGCGCCCGGCCGATACATTTTCTTAAGACAGAGTCTCGCTCTGTTGCCTAGGCTAGAGTGCAGCGGCACAAGCTTAGCTCACTGCTACCTCCACCTCCCGGGTTCAAGCAATTCTCCTGCGTCAGCCTCCTGAGTACCTAGGATTACAGGCACACACCACCACGCCCAGCTAATTTTTGTATTTTTAGTAGAGATGGGGTTTCACCATGTTGGTCAGGCTGGTCTCAAACTCCTGACCTCATGATCTGCCCGCCTCCGCCTCCCAAAGTGCTGGGATTACAAGTGTGAGCCACTGCGCCCGGCCAATATGAGAAATTTTCTAACCTAAAAGGAGGGAAAGAGACTGATGACAGTGGGAAATGCAAAGTAAAGGGGAATGGGAATGAGTCAGCTTTTCTGTAGGGTAACGAAGGCCTCACAATAAAAATAATATATATACATACATATATATACACATTTGTTTTTAAAGGGATGGGATCTTGCTCTTTTGCGTAGGCTAGACTGCAGTGGCACAATCATAGCTCACTGCATCCTTGAACTCCTGGGCTCAGGGAATCCTTCTGCCTCAGCCTCCTGAGTAGCTGGGACTACAAGTGCATGCCGACATGCATGGCTAATTATTTTTTAATTTTTTTGTAGAGACGGGGGGGTCTCACTCTGTTGCCCTAGCTAGTCTTGAACTCCTGGCATGAAGTGATTCTCCTACCTTGGCCGCCTGAAGTGCTGGGACTATAAGTGTAACCCACAGTGCCTGGCCAAAAACAGTGAACATTAATTCATCTTTATCCTTATCATTATGATTTGTATGTATTCAGAAATGCCTCCAGGAAAGTATTATAAAACATTCAACTAAATCTTCTTCAGGTAACTTTGTGGTTATTTTTAACATTTAAATATTTGATCAATATTGAATTAATTTGACAAAAGAAGTATTTTCTTTCTGTTTCCAACAGGCTAGCCCATTATGATCCTATTGTTTACTGAATAATGTGTTTGCCTTCCAAAACTCCAGCAGATCTGAATGCCACCTTTACAACAGCGCGTATTTCCATATTTATGATCTACTTACAAAAATCAGTGACATTACTAAATTGTCTCCAAAGTCTTTCAGCTAAATATATGAAGCATTATGTATGCTATTTAAGTATCCATGTTTATTATTACATATACATGTGTATATATAGTAATAGTTGTATGTATCCTCAACAAATTAAAAAAGAAAAACTATAAATTATAAGTTAATTACCAATGGTATCTATCAATGTAAACACGAAACAGCTTTAGTCACAAGAACAGTAGTTTTCGGCTGTGCGCAGTGGCTCACACCTGTAATCCCAGCACTTTGGGAGGCCAAGGTGGGCAGATCACGTGAGGTCAGAAGTTTGAGACCAGCCTGGCCAACATGGCGAAACCCCATCTTTACTATAAATAAAAAAAGACCTAGCCAGGCATGGTGGCGGGCACCTGTAGTCCCAGCTACTCAGGAGGCTGAGGCAGGAGAATGGCTTGAACCCGGGAGGCAGAGGTCGCAGTGAGCCGAGATCACACCACTGCACTCCAGCCTGGGCAACAGTGCAAAACCCTTGTCTCAAAACAAACAAAACAACCAACCAATCAATAATACTTTTCTACTTACCTCAGCTTCTTTTTCCAGCAAGATCTGGTCTTTATTCATGTCCTCATTCTCCACTTTCCTAAGAATTGAAAGAAATCAGAATTATAATGCTGCAACAAATAGTTATTTGATAACCCCCAACAAATTCTACTTTAAAATTTAAAATGACATGTATTCATCCTTCTTTTTTTTACTGAGATGGTGTCTTGCTCTGTCGCACAGGCTGGAGTGTAGTGGCATGAGCTTGGTTCACTGCAACCCGCACCTCCTAGGTTCAAGCAATTCTCCCACCTTAGCCTCCCAGGTAGCTGTGATTACAGAAGCGCGCTACCACGCCCGGCTAATTTTTTTATGTTTAGTAGAGACGGGGTTTCGCCATGTTGGCCAGGCTCGTCCGAACCTCAAGTGATCCGCCCGCCTTGGCCTCCCAAATTGCTGGGAATACAGGCGTGAGCCACCGCGCCCGGCCTATCATTTTTCCAATTAAAGATATAATGAATAAAAAGGAAACAGAATGATTTTTTTAAAAAGTTCAAACAACATGAAATGGAACATTGAAGAGACTTTTCTTACTCTAGGCTTGAGTGACAACACTTGCTGTTACCCACTCAAAAAACAGGTATTATCTGAATAATTCACTTTGAGATGAGCTATTCTTTATTAATATGAATGTAGTCACCACACTTAAGGAAGGAGCAGGATCTGTGTGAGTGAGCGAGGGGCAAAGGGCGAGCTCCCCAAGCACACCTGAGCATCACGCTCTGCAGAGCACACTAATCCCTGTCTCAGGGCCAGCGCCTGCTCAGCTTCCAGAGGGTGGAATTTTCTAGCTGCCTCTAAAATCTTTCTTAATGTGGTTTCCAAACTCGTAATTAGACTTCACTGTGGACAACGTATGTATAACTTACATAAAGACATATTAGCATGGCTAAAAAGAAAAGGTGAGTGAGGGCGGCTGCAGGACTTTACAAGGATTGAAGCTGCTGCTTCAGTGGCCACTGGCTGCTCGGAAGTCACTCATCCTGGCCTCACCCTTAACGCAGGCGCTGCAGTTTCTTAATGGCAACAAGTTTGTCCTCATGTACAGAGTGATGCTTTTGAAGGAGGACTCGACACAAGCCTCTGGCCTGTCCTAAAGGTCTAAAGTCTTTGTTTGTTTGTTTTCTGAGACAGGGTCTTGTTTTATTGCCCAGGATGAAGTGTAGTGGTGCAATTATGGCTCACTGCACCTCCCAGGCTCAACTGCTCCTCCCAACTCAGCCTCCTGAGTAGTATGTGCTACCATGCTCGGCTAATTTTTTTTTTTTTAATTTTTGTAGAGATGGGATTTCACCATGTAATCCTATGGTCTCAAAACTCCTGAGCTCAAGCAATCTACCTCGCCTTGGTCTCCCAAGGTGCTGGGATTAAGGCATGAGCCACCATGCCTGGCCTAAAGTTTGTATGTGCGTATCATTAAATGTACTTTTTTTTTAAAAGGTTGAAAGAGCATAATTTGATTAAATTAACAACTCTTTTGTAGTAACTTTTGAGTAGGAAACCAAACCATGTTGCTTAATGGTCAAGAAGGCTGAGCTGAACACACAGAGGAAGAGGAACATCATGGCTCAGGGTGACCAATACAGAGGAAGGGGCACAGTGTGATGATGACCTGCCGCCTCTCTTAAGTCTCTCAGAACGGAAGTTTTCATAATGAAGGTCCTGGGTCACCTCCTGGAGATCCTGCATGTGTGTGCTGAAAGAGAAGAGGAATACACTAAGGTGGCCTCATGCATGTGACATTCTCACGAGGAAAAAAACCACCCATCAAGTACATAGAAAAAATAGCAGTAATTAAAATTACTTGGTAAATTGTACATAAAGCTGCTGGGATTTCAGGATAAGGAGTATGGCCGTGGAAACGTCTAATGAGGTATAGCTCTCCCTTTGTTCCCCAATCAATGATACACAAACACAGGTCTGGACTGAGTCTCTCAGCAGGATTTCTGCCAGAGGCAATGCCACCCCGTATGAGGCCATCTCTACCACAGGATGGCAGATAGACAGATTTTAAGAGATTTTTAGGTCAACAATGTCTGAAATAGAAGACACTCTTCTAACAGGACTTACAGAAAATGTAATGAAAATATTCATGCCTCCTATAACTCAAAATTTATATATTACTCTAAGAAGAAAGAGTTGGTTCGCTTAAGCTATGCAGAAGACCATAAAGTGAAGGACTAATATTCTGGATCCAAGAATATTAGTCAACAACTCAACCTTCCATTCATCTTATGACTTCTTAATTGCCTAGCTTACTCAAAATACTTAAGCAGTCCAGAATGAGCAAAACATTGTAACACACTCCTATTTATTCAGGATCCAGGGAAATGGATTGAGATAGCCAAGGAGGGGCTCACTCTACCTCACTGTGAGAAACACACAACTGACACTAAAGTGAAGTCCCCAAACCCCGTCTTCAGCCTCTACACCCCCCTCAATAATGGGGATAGGGACAGCCAAGGATGCAGCCCTGGAGGAGCTGAGTGCACTTAACTTCTTACACGACCATTAAATTGTGTTTGACAGAGCTTGGATGTTTTAACATGTTACTGATTTTAACTTACTACAAATTGTTAAACTAAGTGAGACATGTGGCAAATATATAGCAACTTTCAGCTAATCAAAACATTGATTTCTCCATATCTGTCATTCTTTGAAGTCCTCTGATAAAAGAGGTATAGTTTAAGCGATACTCTCAGCCTGTTCTTTTTGTTGAGATGAAGTCTCGCTCTTGTTGCCCAGTCTGGAGTGCAGTGGCGCAATCTCGGCTCACTGTAACCTCTGCCTCCAGGTTCAGGAGATTCTCCTGCCTCAGTCTCCCAAGTAGGTGGGACTACAGGCACCCACCACCACGCCTGGTTAATTTTTTTGTATTTTTAGTAGAGACAGGGTTTCACCATGTTGGCCAGGCTGGTTTGAAACTCCTGACCTCAAGTGATCCGCCCGCCTTGGCCTCCCAAATTGCTAGGAGTACAGGTGTGAGCCACCGCACCCGGCCTCAGCCTCTTTTTTCCAAAGTAAAAGCAATGTATGCATGCTACTGTATGTGAAATTAATTTTTTTTTTTTTTTTTTTTTTTTTTGAGACGGAGTCTCGCTCTGTCACCCGAGCTGGAGTGCAGTGGCCGGATCTCAGCTCACTGCAAGCTCCGCCTCCCGGGTTTACGCCATTCTCCTGCCTCAGCCTCCCAAGTAGCTGGGACTACAGGCGCCTGCCACCTCGCCCGGCTAGTTTTTTGTATTTTTTAGTAGAGACGGGGTTTCACCGTGTTAGCCAGGATGGTCTCGATCTCCTGACCTCGTGATCCGCCCGTCTCGGCCTCCCAAAGTGCTGGGATTACAGGCTTGAGCCACCGCGCCCGGCCCTGTGAAATTAATTAATTAATTAATTTATTTTTATTATTTTGAGACAGAGTCTCACTCCATCTCCCAGGCTGGAGTGCAGTGGCGCAATCTCAGCTCACTGCAACCTCTGCCTCCCGGGTTCAAGTGATTCTCCTGCCTCAGCCTCCTGAGTAGCTGGGATTACAGGTGCGTGCCATCACGCTCGGCTAATTTTGTTTTTGTAATTTTAGTAGAGATGGGGTTTCACCATGTCGGTCAGGCTGGTCTCGAACTCTTGACCTCGAGATCCGCCAGCCTCGGCCTCCCAAAGTGTTGGAATTACAGGCGTGAGCCACCACGCCCAGCCATGAAATTTATTTTTAAAGGAAAAGACGTCTATTTTTGTAGTCAGGTCTGTAATTGTTATTAATAATAAATGGAAGACACAAAAAGCTAACCAGGGCCATCCAATGAGTCTCAGACTGGGGAGCAGGGCCCAGGTGTGGCTCAGCCTGGAGCAGCGGACCAGGAGCCTACACAGTCTGACCATTTCCTTACCAGCACCGAGGACCTCTCAGACCCCAGTTTAGGTTCTAGTCTCCTTTTAACATCAAAGATATAAGATCTTAGCAGGAAGGAAAGGTACTACAGGTTACAGGCCACAGGCAGAAGAGTTAGTTTAGTAGTGCCACAGAGGGCCCCTGGGTGAGGGTTCTCAGCACCAAGCTGCAACAGCCCCACACCAGTTCTGCAATGTGAGAAACACTGAGGACGGCAATGAAGCTGCTGGCTGCAACTACCTTGGAGGTCAAGTGTACACCCCGTTTAAAATCCATATTCTTCATGCCAAATTCTGCCAGAAAGAACACACCAAATGTCTTACATGAGCATGGTTCTCAGCTTCAGAAAGTCGTTGTGCTCTGGGTTCTCCACCTCCACAACACCCCAGGGGTAGAGGCGGCCTCTGACCTTCTTTCCTTTGGCTTCAATCAACTGATTGGAGCCAACCACAGAGAACGGGATGCTAGCCTAGAAAGAGACACACAGAGTAGACAGGCTCCACACAGGGAACCCCAGAGTTCACTGTGAACACGAGAACATCAGCACAGACTTAACACATTGCTACTGACTACAAAATTTAATTGGAAATCTGGGGGTACGTAACATTTTCTTGAGAACTGTCAGATACCTTCCACATGGGACAAACTGTATGAAAACAAATTAAACCTACAATAAAATTTCTAAGCTTTAGGTGATAGCTGTACAGTATTTTTTTTTGGGAGACAGACTCTTGCTCTGTCGCCAGGATGGAGTACAGTGGCACGATCTCAGCTCACTGCAACCTCTGCCTCCTGGGTTCAAGTGATTCTCCCGCCTTAGCCTCCCGCGTGGCTGGGACTACAGGTGTGCACCACCACACCCACCTCATTTTTGTATTTTTTTTTTTTTTTTTTTTTTTTTTTTTTGAGGCGGAGTCTCGCTCTGTCGCCCAGGCTGGAGTGCAGTGGCGCGATCTCGGCTCACTGCAAGCTCCGCCTCCCGGGTTCCCGCCATTCTCCTGCCTCAGCCTCCCGAGTAGCTGGGACTACAGGCGCCGCCACCACGCCCGGCTAATTTTTTTGTATTTTTAGTGGAGACGGGGTTTCATTGTGTTAGCCAGGATGGTCTCGATCTCCTGACCTCGTGATCCGCCCGTCTCGGCCTCCCAAAGTGCTGGGATTACAGGCTTGAGCCACCGCGCCCGGCCCATTTTTGTATTTTTGATGGAGATGAGATTTCACCATGTTGGCCAGGATGGTCTGGACCTCCTAGCCTCAACTGATCCATCTGCCTTGGCCTCTCAAACTGCTGGGATTATAGGCATGAGCCACTGCGAGGCCTTAAAATATATTTAAAGCAACATACCCAGACAATCGCTCTCATCTTAACATGGACAACAGTAAACAGGAGTTATTTATGTTGTGCATTTGAAGCCAGTTCTTACCTTGAGAAGTCTAGTCTGCTCTTTAAAATCTTCATCTTCATCTGATTCTGCATCAGGTAAGTGATAGATTTTGATGTTATGTTCTTCAATTTCATCCAGAATCTGAGAGAATGACAAAACCAGGATCAATTTTAGCAAACTGCCTATGTTATTATAGCCAATTCTAACTCATTGTGTAAGAAATACATCAGAATCATTCAAACGTCAATAATCAAACTGATTATGCAAGTTACTGTCAAATAAATTTATAAAACTGCGGCCAGGCACGGTGGCTCATGCCTGTAATCCCAACACTTTGGGAGGCTGAGGTGGGCGGATCACAAGGTCAAGAGATCGAGACCATCCTGGCTAACACGGTGAAACTCTGTCTCTACTAAAAATACACAAAATTAGCCAGGCGTGGCAGTGGGCGCCTGTAGTCCCAGTTACTGGGGAGGCTGAGGCAGGAGAATGGCATGAACCCGGGAGGCGGAGCTTGCAGGGAGCCGAGCTGGTGCCACTGCAGTCCAGCCTAGGTGACACAGCGAGACTCCGTCTCAAAAAAAAAAAAAAAAAAAAAGCAGTAATGCACCACTACCCTCAATGTACAAAGCAGTAGGAAGACTAACGATAGCCCCAACACAACAGCTAAAATGGAAATCATATCACAATCAGCCTCAAGAAGGGCAATTGCCGCAGAGAAGCTATAGGCATGAGAAGACCCTGGAGAACAGGCAGGAGTCTTAAAAGCAGAGAGAAGGAAGATGTACCCCAGATGGGGGAAAAAAAAAAAAAAAAACCTTGTCAAAGGTACAGAGAAGACACATGGAGTGGATTTTGAGAACAACAAGAAATTCAAAAGGTTGGAATCTAAGACATCCAGTTGGATACGGGAACAAAAATTGGAGTTACAAAGTAGAGAGTTCCATGAACACCAGACTAGCGACCGGGGGATCTGTATTTCATTCAACAGGTAGCCAAGCAGCCAGCAGCAAAATCCCAGTCTGACCTATCAAGCAGGCATAGTGTGGGGGATGGGGCTTGCTGGGCTGACGTTGAAATACGAACTCATTCATCAGTCAATCAATTAAAACCCCAGCACTCAAATGCCCACTAGATGGTGGGCACTCTTAACAGGCACCAGGCAGGTCACAGCTTTGTTTCGTCTCACCCCAGTACCCGAGCCATCCAGGGAAGAGAGAACAAAAGCAACGTGAGCAGAAAATATCCTGACCTCAAACTGTGCACTGGATTTGCTCTCTGGTTTTAAGAATGGAAAGCCTTAATGTGACCTAAAAAGGGCTTGAATGGATGAGAGATTTGGTCTTAGCACAATGTCTGTACTAATTCAGAACTCCAGAAAAGGCCCTCCTCTCTACATCCTTGATTCTGTAACTCGACCTTCAGTCTTTACATAAATCCTTATTCCTAAATAGGAGGAACTATCTTATCTCTGGGAGAAACTGAACAATAAGAAGCATGAACTTGTTCACTTGTCCTCATCTCACGGCCCCTCTCCTGGTCTATTACCCATCCACGCCAACCTCATCTTTTGTCCTATGCTGGCCTCATAAAGATGGAGCTTATACTTTGGAGGAGAGAAGAGTTTGGAAACATTTAGTAAGCTATTTAAAAGTAAGGAGAGGAGTCAGAAAGTGATGAATAAAAAATAATGTACACATTTCTCAATCTGGAAGATTTCAAGAATTGTGGGACCATTTAGAGAGAGGGAAGTTGCAAGGACAGGAGTTCATCAGTGGTCAAAAGAGGACTCCTGTGGGCACGTGTGGTTCACAACAAGAAATAAGATACTTGGAAGGGCAAATCAGAAGCCACAGAAATAATGTGATCAAAATAATATTAAGGAACACTGACCTCCAGGGCTCAGGAAGGTAGGTGGTAAAAAGCAGCAGAGAGAAAAGCAAACACAGTGGCTCAGCAGCCAAGGAAGGGAAGTTTCAGGAGAACTGCCAATCACACCAACCCCACGGGTGGGGCCCACATCTGAGAACTGAACTGTTGGCCAAGCCCATGAGAGAGCAACTGCAGGTGGATGACAGGAAGCCTGAGTGAACACAATCATGGGGAGGGCAGGTAACAGCTACCAGTAAGTGTCTGACTAAAAGATAGGCTGGTGAAGGCAAGAGGCTAGTAGAGGCTGGCAGGAGGCAAGAGGTTCTTTCAGATACAGCAGAATGAACAAACTGGTAGGCATCAAGGAGAAACTGGAGAAACAGAAGTGATTAAAGAGGCCCAAGAAGGAAGGGATAAAAGCTCGAAGTATTTTGATTCACCTCAGATGTTGTAATCAAGCACTAAGTGTTTTGCATACAGGGTTAGAGATGAGAATTAGAGCATTCTAACCCTGACACCACCCCCATCTCTATCTCACAGAAATTTAATGTAGCAGAGTACAAAAGGTAAAGTTCCCCTAAGTGGGAATTGCTAAAGTATTTATTAGCATAAAAACGTCTATGCTTCCAGGGGTTCTTCAAAGGTTCAAATACTTCCTAAAACACTGGCAGGCACTTGAGACAATTTAGGAACAGGCTGCCAAACATGACTACGTGCTGCTTAAAAACTGCTTTGGAAAAAAACACCAGAAAAAATGTGAAAACATGAAAGTCAAACCAGGTGAAATCATCTGCAACGTGACAGTCAACATCTAAAAATAAGAAGTATATCTGTTAAATCAATAAAAAAGCAAGAGCCAAGCCCCTGCAACCTGCGAGAACACACCAACGGGCATCAACACCAGGACAGACACTCACTTCAGCCATCAAGGAAATGCAGATTCAAATGAGATACAATTTCTCAGACAGGAAACACATTACAAAAACTGGCAGCATAACCAGGACAGTTTTAGGGGGTGGAGAGAAGAGTACACTTTGGAAATGTAAATTGTTACGAACTTACTTTAGAGCAAATTTAGTCATCCTTCAAAAATTTAAATATTATTTAAATTTTATTTCCTACTAAGAATTCGTTTGGCTCACACAATTGTGAAAAGATAGATGTGCACCAATGTTCATTACAACAATTATGCAACAAATCTATTATGTGCCAGACATTACTCGGAAGTCTGGTAATACATAAGTGAACAAAGCAGATTCCTGATCTCAGGACCCGGGGTCAGCGGTCAGGAGAAGCCAACAAATACACTGGAGAAATACTTTATGCAGTGTGGGGCGAGTGCTACCAGCAGAGCAGGGGATGGAGATGTGAAATTGTGTGTGTAGCGCTGGGCTCAGTGATGGAGTTGTCCACACAGGTATCTGAGGGAAGACTGGTCCAGACAGAGGGTATCACTAGCAAAAAGAAATAGCAAGGGGCAAAGAAATAGTAAATTTGGTTAAAGAAGAAAAGGGGCCAGAGCAAAACAAAAAGTAAGCCAATTATTCATCAACAGGAAACTGGACAACGTAGAGTATATTCATACAGTGCAATGCTGTGCATCCAGTAAGTATCAGGATATAGTATATATATGAGGATGCTTCCAAATATTTTTAAACAGAAAAATCAAATGGCAGAATAGTATTATTATGTGATTTCACTCTGTAAAACCGAAAACATAAGCCATGTTCTAGAAGGATATATACTTAACAGTTGTTCCTTCTGTGGGTAATTAAAGAAATTCTTTTTTTTTTTTTCTTGAGACGGAGTCTTGCTCCGTCACCCAGGCTGGACTGCAAACAACCTCCGCCTCCTGGGTTGAAGCGATTCTTTTGCTTCAACCTCCCAAGTAGCTGGGACCATAGGCGCCCACCACCACGCCCGGCTAACGTTTGTAATTTTTTAGAGATGTGTGGAGTTTTGTCATGTTGGTCAGGCTGGTCTCGACCTCCTGACCTCTGGTGATCTGCCTGCCTCAGCTTCCCAAAGTGCTGGGATTACAGGCGTGAGCCACCACACCCGGCTTAGAAATTCTTTTATTAAAAAACATTTTTTTTTTTTAAGAGACAGGGTATTACAATGTTGCTGAAGTCCTCCAACTTCTGGGCTCAAGTGATCCTCCTGCCTCAACCCCCTGCTGTACCCTGCTACCCTGCCCCAGCAGCTGGGATTATGTGCACATACCAGTATGTTCAGTGACATATTTGTATTTTTAGAGTTTGGCATATACAAACTATTTGGACTTTCTTAAGGAGCATATAATCAGAAAAAAGCAAGTGATTTAAACATACATAGCAGAGAATCAATAAAGAGGCTTTATAGAAACACACACAAGAGGGCACTGAAACGGGCGCACCACAGGAGCTGCCGGGGGTGAGAGACGGTTTGCTGGCTGACAACTGCTATGTCCCAAACAGAACAGAGAACCAGTCCACTTAGACACACCCTTGTATAGGTCATTTGCAGTAAAGAATTTAGGTAAAGTAACAAACTTCATGAAGAGATCACATTTCTGTATTTGAGTCACTGAACTCCTATGGAATGCACTTGTGTGTAACCAACTGCTACTCAGAGAGGGCATTTTAAATATAAGGAGAATTTAAAGAACATAAATTTTTGATACCTTCATGAAGGCAAAAATTAAAATTTATAACTATTAGGTTCTCCTTGAAAACCACCATTAAAATGCAGGAAAAATTCTCCTGCCCTGCCTCCCGACACCTGAGCAGACACCTGAGCAGACTGAGTGTGCCAACACCCTCCTTTCTGCATCCCCACGCCCCCTAGTCGCACCTGAGGGAGAGCAGGAGGCCAGCCTCACTCACCCTTTTCTTCAGCCGCTCCCGTTCCTTCAGGGTGAGAGTGTCAGCTTTTGCAATGACAGGCACAATATTCACCTTGTTGTGTATTGCCTTCATAAACGCCACATCTAAGGGCTTAAGTCTAAAATTAATTTTAGAAGTGTCACTTATTTTAAAAAAACACATACAAAACTCTTCTCTCTCTCAAATTATCTTAATTCTTATATTAAAATACAGAGTTTGGGTAAAAGTTACAAACCCATGTAGTAAAGCATTTCTCCACAGTAAACAATTACTTACCCATGTCCAAAAGGTGAAATAAAGTAAAAGCAACAATGCACCCTATTATCAATGATGTGCCGCCTGTTCAAGCCGCTCTCGTCATGCAGGTACCTCTCAAACTGCTCATCAATATAGGAGATAATTGTCTTAAAACTGAGAGAAATAGAAACATTAACAATAATCATAGGGTACAAAACAGGGGGTCCCTGACTTCAAAGGGAAAACAAGTGCCTCTGCCCAAATATATACAATTTAATAATTCATTTTCAAGATGAGAACAGAAGACTGACTCCTAAATTTGGCAAATGGAAGTTTTTGGAAACTATGCCAAGCATAATTGCCTCAAGTGCTGGGAGTCAAAAAAAGCTTGAGTGGAATAGGTTTTGATGCACCTGAGAGAGGGCCAGTGTAGACAGGGCTGCCAAGTTTTTCTTTTTTTAGAGAAACTGAGTCTTGCTCTGTCGCCCAGGTTGGAGTGCAGTGGCGTGATCTCAGCTCACTGCAACCTCCGCTTCCAGGGTTCAAGCGATTCTCCTGCCTCAGCCTCCCGAGTAGCTGGGATTATAGGCATATGCCACCACGCCCGGCTAATTTTTGTGTTTTTAGTAGAGACAGGGTTTCACTATGTTGGCCAGGCTGGTCTCGAACTCCTGACCTTGTGACCAGCCCCTCCCCGCACCCCCCACCAGCCTCCCAAAGTGCTGGGATTACAGGCGTGAGCCACCGCACCTGGCCAGGGCTGCCAGTTCTTTTCAGGAACGTGACTGTGAAGAGGGGCAGAGGAACAGGATGGTAGAGAACATGGGTCAAGAACAGGTTTATCTGAGCTGGGAAACAGCACAGCACTTTCACATGTAAGGGAGAAATTCCTAAATGTAGGAGAAAGACAAAAGAACCTTCCCCTTTCCATCTAGTGGTGGAAAGCTGATGCTTTAGGTTGACAGGATTAGAACAAGGAGGGAGTTTGTACAGTGAAAGTGGCATTCTTTGCCCAGTACAGGTGACAGACTGCTCTATCTTCTACTTCTTGATTTCCTTATTTGTGAAAATGATGCCAATGAGCAGTCATTTACAGACACTACGACTCAATCCACTCTCTAACAGGTTTCACTTCCTTCCACGTGGAAAGGATGTACTACAGTATTTCGTTCACCAGCCACGGCTCAAATCCAGGTGTTTCATTTACACTAGCAGTCTATGGACGACCAGCTTTGCGATCTCAAATCCTACTAGAGTACCAGAGAAAAATTCCTCTATAAAATTCCTTAAATTATTTAAAAAGTCAACATTAACACACTTTAAATTATCTAGCTGTTTTATTATATACAGCGACCCCAAACTTAATCGCTCATTAACACGATCTATAAATTTAAGTACATTAAATAAACAAATGCAGATCCCTGGGCACCCGGGTGCATACCAATCTCTGCAGTTGATAGCGTCACCATAGCCAGGGGTGTCTACCACTGTCAGGCGTAGCTTGACCCCTCGCTCTTCAATTTCAACAGTTGAAGCCTCAATCTGGACAGTTCTTTCAATTTTTTCTAGAAAAGAAACAAACTTAATAGGGAATATAAGCAGCATGCGAAGAGGAAAGCTCACATTAACGACATTCTCCCAACTAGTGACTTCAGAGTCCACTACCTCTCTGCAGAGGTAGGTTCTCCAAAGTTACCATGGGGATTACGCAAAAATGATCCCAGAGGAGTCAGAAAGGGGAAGGTTAAAGCTAAGATTATTGTGCTACTTGGGAAGGTTAAAAACACAAATATTAAAAATCATAATTTCTGTTCCTGGGAAAAGAAAGGAATTTACGAATTCATTTAAAAACTGAATTCAAAAATATCCTGAAAGGCCTACATATTCTTGCAGCAGCCCCAGTCCTGGGTTCTCACTGTGTGTGCCTAATTCATTCAACAGGCATTTGTGGATGCTGGTGTCCTGTGCTGGAACTTTCCAACAGTAGATGAATTAGAACATCTATCCCAGCAATCTTCTAGTCACACAGCATTTTTGATATACAACATTCTCACTTAATCCATCAAACGTTTAATATAGGCAGAAGCTACTTATTACATTTTACAGACAAAACAAACTCAGAGAGGATAGATCCATGGATACGTGTCAAAGAAAGTCTACAGCCCAAATCCAAGGACCTCGGTGCAGCACCTGCCCCCTAAGTGTTTTCCTTGTGTTCAAAGTTGAACAAGAACAGACAGAACACAGAGCTAAGACATAAAACATTCATTAGGCAGTCTTCAGCACCTTTCATGTAGAATTACACTTACAGTAACATAGGAATGTTTTTACCTGCAGCTCCAGGTATGACTCTTTCTGGGTAGAGATCAGTCAGGAAAAGGCTGTTTATGAGAGTCGATTTTCCTAGACCTGATTCACCTTTAAATAAAAAGAAAAACCCTGTCATGACCTTATCCATATGACACCATTCAATCTGTTAAGTGTTTACACGTGGCCTGGACTGGGCTAAGCACCTCGCAAACATCATTCTGTGTTTAGTACCTATAGTTCCACTATGTCTGGAGTATGATCTTTGAGTGTACTCAAAGAAACTCTAATTTGCCCAAGGTCGGAGTACTATCCAGAGCAGGGCCAAGATTGAATCCAGGTCTATGAGACTACAGACCCTGAACATCATACGATCAGAAACACGACAGTTCACAAACGTGAGGAATGTACTTTAGAGGTTGGTTTTTATTTTTGACAAACAGAATGTAAAGCAGGTTTTCAATGATCAGTTCTGCTAGTCACTAAACTTACCACATTTTCAGAAAACTGAACATATCTATCCTGTAGTGTCAAGAACACTTGTGCTTCCCGAGCTGCAGGAACGGGTGAGCAGGACAGGGCCTGTGGTCTGGTGGGCTCACTTCTTGAACCCTCACTCTGCAACCTCCCCCTTCTGCCACCTTGTCTTCTTCCTGCTTTAAACCCATCCCCGTTTCCCAGCACTGGCAACTGCCATGTGTCAGGCAACTTTCCTGCTCCCTTTGCTGAGTTCACATGACCAATTCAGTGACACATATCCATGTAAGCTTTCAACGAGGTGAGAATCTCTCTTCAACTACTGTGACCATATATTCTGAATATTTGAAATTTAACTTCAAAAAAGATGCAAAACACCAAAAATTAAATTTTACATTTGAAGGAAGCACAAATTCCACTGCTTCATTGCAGGTTATCATCTAAGTCTTAATTTTGCATGGAGAAGCGCTTCTGATCTTGGTACTACATAGCACTTGGTGCTGGACTGTCCCCTAGGCACCCTAAACCACCCTCTGTTAAGTTCTGCAAAGCCTGAGGAAGGAGTACACATCTCTTGAAAAATTATTTCTGGCTGGGCACAGTGGTTCACACCTATAATCCCGGGACTTTAGAAGACCAAGGCTGGAGGATCACTTGAGGCTAAGAATTTAAGACCCTACCTGGGCAAAAAAGTGAGACCCCCATCTCCCAAAAAACCAAAGAAAATAAAAAACTCCAAAACCTTAGCCAGGTGTGGTGGCATGTACCTAGAATCCCAGCTACTTGGGAGGTGAGGGCAGGAAGATTGCTTGAGCCCAGGAGTTAGAGGTTACAGCAGGCTATGATCATGCCACTGCACTTCAGCCTGGGTACAGAGTGAGACCCTGTCCCTTACAGAAAAAAACAATTCTGGGAAAATCAAGAACAAAAAAGTGAATTTGAAATGTGCAGATATACAAAATTAGGACTGCATTTTAAGTGAACTGCAATTTTCACACATGAAAAGAACAATGTGTTGCACATGCCTAAAAATGATTGTAAAAATTTGACTAAGTGCCTATTATCCCATTAAGTCATCCCTTTAATAAACTGTGGTGCAATGCCCCTTTACATTTTTGCTCCATTTAAAGAAGGTTTTACCAGTAATTGCTAAGTCCTTTCTGCATGTCTGGCACAGGTCTAGGAGCAGAGACACGACATAGAACAAGAAGGAACCAAGTCCCTGCTCCCTGGAGCTCTGCAGCCCAGCAGGGAGAGGATAAACCGATGAAATCCCTTTCTGACTAGAGTAGCAACAGCTGTGGGGAACAGCTGAGAAAGTCATCTGAGACAGCTTTTAAAAAAGCAGTCAGAATATCCCACTGGCTACTTCTAACTTATAGATCTTAATTTTAAGGGTATATGTGATTATTTTACTTGGAATAGCTTTTGAGTAACATCAACAAATGGTTTGCTTAAGGAACTCAGAACATGAGGCTACACTTGGGCTGAATCACTGCAGCGCAGGCACCCAGCTCTGCTCTGCCCCACTTTCTTTAGTATCTCCATTCTGGCCAGGCGTCTTTCACATACGTGTCAGCAAATGAGAGAACAAGACACACAGAGATCCGGGCCTGTAAATCTATGCCAAATGCACTGGGTCCAGAAGTTTCACTTGTTACAAAAGTAACAAAGTATTTTTTAAAGTGCCAGAATTAATATAGTTTTTCTCTAATAGTAGTGACAAAAAAGACTGGAATGGGAGGTATTCAGAGTTTAAAATATGGCATGTTTTCCCTAATTAGAAAGAAAACAGTATTAGGCACAGTGCAACCATGGAAGGAAACATATGTATGGGGTGAGAAAGTGAAGCTTCACTGTACAATACTCTTCTGAAATCCCATCAGGCAAATTTGTCACCGAAGTTTTAGGCTTCAGTTAGAAGTTTTTTTTTAATCCTAGACTAAAGAAATACAACGGCAAAACAGCCTATTCCAGGAATATTAGGAAGTAGCTTTCAAATCTGAGGGAATTTCTCTTCAAATTTAAAATTTTTTAACCAACACGAAAATGAAACTGCTTTCTCAGACACTATGCATCAAGGGCCTTTCTCGGGAGGCTCCTGAAGAGCGGTAATCTAAGGGATCAGCTTTTTTGCTCATTCAAACAACTCCCACCAGAGCTGTGCAAGAGCAGGACGGCACTGAGAGCTGCGTGAGGCTGGACTCTGTGGGAGCGGGCAGCTCACGAAGGTCTCAAAAAGGTCTGGCCTGCCCATCCCAGACTCCTGCGCCCTCAGGATGGAACGCCTATAACATGTGTGAGCACCTGGAATTATACTTCAGCTTTTAGTACTCAAGTGCTTGCTCCAACCCTCCTGTAAATTTGATCACAGTAACAACCTACTTTCCTCTTTTTCAGACACAAACATCTTTACATTAGATTTCTATTAGGTAACATATTTGGCAACAGGCTTTATTCTTAAACATGCTTTTCATATAATTAAGCCACCATCGCATATAAATGTAGCCAAGGTAATAACTTCTTTTTTTTTTTTTTTTTTGAGATGGAGCCTTGCTCTGTCGCCCAGGCTGGAGTGCAGTGGCCGGATCTCAGCCCACTGCAAGCTCCGCCTCCCGGGTCTACGCCATTCTCCTGCCTCAGCCTCCCGTGTAGCTGGGACTACAGGCGCCCGCCACCGCGCCCGGCGCCTAGGCTGGTCTGCAGTGGCGCTATCTCGGCTCACTGCAAGCTCCACCTCCCGGGTTCACACCATTCTCCTGCCTCAGCCTCCCAAGTAGCTGGGACTACAGGCGACCGCCACCTTGCTGGGCTAATTTTTTGTATTTTTTAGTAGACACGGGGCTTCACCGTGTTAGCCAGGATGGTCTCCATCTCTTGACCTCGTGATCTGCCCGCCTCGGCCTCCCAAAGTGCTGGGATTGCAGGCGTGAGCCACCGCACCCGGCTGAGAGTAACTAAATATAATTATTTATCACTCTAACTAGAATCTACAGCAATATGGTCACCAAATTGTCTCACGGACAGTCTGCAACCTGGCTTCCTTGCTTGATGTCGCTGAATAAGTCACTCGTGATTTTAGAATCCCTTGCAGACTGTTGCCCCAACATCTGTAGTCTTTCATTTGCATTTGATCTGTTACTTTGTGAACTTGCCTACTTCTTTAGAAGTCTGACACAATTTTAAAAACTATGCCTTTCCTCTTCAATAGTTTCTCTTTTACCAATTACGTGTGCTAGGGTTTTCCTGATATACTCATTTTTCTTGAGCTATTAATACAATTTGAAAGTTGAGGGTTCTTGTGGCTTTCTAGTTCTACTTTTCACTACTCACCCTCAACCCCCTACCTGTTTTCTTTTAAATCCACTTTATGGAGGCACAATTTGTTAATACTAAAATACACCCATTTAAACTGTACAGTTTTGACAAAAGTAGATACTCAGATAACCAAACTCCACTCAAGATAAAAGATTACTTGTGTAACCCTAGAGTTCCTTCGTGTACCTGTGAAGTCTGCCCTCTCCAGTCCCCACTGCAGGCGAACGCCAATCTACTTTGTCACTATGTATCAGCTTTGCTTATTCTAAAACTTTTAAATGGCATCATACAGCATGGCCTGTTTTGTGTCTGGCTGCTTTTGCTCGACACAGCTCTGAGACTGACGCATGCTGTTGCATCTATGAGTAGTTCGTTTCTTTGCAGTGCTCGGCAACATTCCATTGTATGGCTACACCACAATTTGTTAACCCACTCTCTAGATACCTTTGCTCTCCCCAGTTTGGGGCTATTTTGAGAAAAGCAGCTATGATCATTCACATACAAGTCTTTATGGACATGTTTTCATTTCTTATGTGTAAACACTTACAAGCGGTATTGCTGGGTCTTAACTGTTAAAGAAGTACCAAACTGGCTTCCATACTGGTTGTGGCATTTTTACATGCTCACTAATACGAGTTCCAGTTGTTTCACATCCTTGCTGACACCTGGAGTGCCTGCGTTTTAGTGGATGTGTGGTGGCATGTAGTGGTTTCAATGCATAGTTCCCTGATGACCAAAGATGTGGACATGTTTACGTGGGTTTACCGGCTATTTGTTTATCTTCCTTAGTGGAATGTCTATTCAGATCTTTGGCCCCCTCTTTGTAAGTGGGTCATTTGCCTCACTGATCTGTAAAAGATTTTTATATATTCTGGACACATATCCTTTGTCAGATATGGTACTATGAATACTTTGAGTTCCTCACATTTTATTTTCCTATTGATGTCTTTTGAAGAAGGCCAACTTTTAATAATGCACAAATATTTTTACAATTTTTATTCTCCATGTCCTAAGAAATCTGCTTACTACAAAGTCAAAAAATTTTTTGCCCATTTTCTTGTAGAATTTTTATAGCTTTACATTTAAATCAACTATCATTTCAGGTTAATTTTGACACACAGTGTGAAGCAGGAGTTGAAGTTCATTTTTTCACACATAATCATCTAGTTGTTACAGACTGCAAAAAGACTAACCTTGCCCCCACTGAATCAACTTGGCTTTTTTCTCAAAAAACAAAACAAAACAAAAAAATTGAACTTATCATATTGATTGATCTACTTCTTGGCTGTTGCTCTGCTCAATAGATCTGTGTATCT